TAGTGACTGCATTTACTGTAAGGGCACATGTAGAAAGCAGTTCGACCTCTGCACTTACAAGTGTGTCAGATCCCCCTTTGATTACTTGCACTTATTGGTGGAGTTGGACTTTTTCCAGACTTTTTCAATGCCGGATTGTGGCTGTCAAAAATTAACGATTTATTCTATTTGTTTACTCCAACCCCTAACATGAAATATCAATATATGTAGTTATTTATAAGTTATCAGACTAGAGTCTTATTCTTGATGAACCTAGCAAAATGTTTATAGCAATTGATATTGTGCAATCAAAATATTTATAAATGTTGTCTGTGAGCCAGATGACGAGCCATTCAGGTATTCTTGATTGTGAAACATGAAGCATTTGCAGAGGACATAATGTGTTCACTGGACTTCAGAGAACCAATTTGATCCATGAGTGAAACCAGACATATTTGAAATTGGAAAGAGCAGGAGAATACATTATATTCTCTCAAACATTTTTGATATAGATTCATTTGGAGGAGGTAATATAATTTTATGGAATGGAATATAATATACAGACCTCCATGTTTTTCTACATGGAATAGTGAAGGCTCATTAGTATGGACCAGACATCCTTTATTCTCATGTATTCCCAATTGTGGGTTTATTGGTAGGAATTTCATCTCCTTCAGGACAATAAAGCTGTCCACACAGAGCTCGAAATAAAGATTACAGTAGCATATAAACATATTTAACATAAACCCAAGGTAATAAGACCAAATCCAAATAAATAAATAGTGTGTGACGTTTCGGTAACAACGCTGTTACCGAAACGTCACACACTATTTATTTATTTGGATTTGGTCTTATTACCTTGTGTTTATAATCTATAATCCAAATTGTGCCTTATCAATCATATTTAACATAAAAATTATTTTTTTGTAAAACATCAATTATATATTTCTTTGAACCCCTAACAGGTTGTGATCTTTAATAAGCTTATAAAATATGTATGGAAGCCCCAACAGACCCATGTTTCACGATTCATATCTTTTAGATCAATGTTCTAAAATTCATTTAACTTGTTAGCCCCAATATAAAAAATTTAAAATAAAACTACAATATGACTTTATAAAATATAAATATGAATTATGAAAAATTACAATATTATTAAAATTTATGAATATCTATATACACAAAAGTATTAAAATATTTGGCTTATTTTGAAAATAAATGCTACAAGATTTTTCTGGATATCATAAGACCTATCTGGAAATACTAGAACTGGACATTGCTGATTTAACAATTGAAGAGCAGATACACACATGTGCATTTCATAGTTGACAGGATCAGTCAGATAGGCACCAGACTTTCTGCCAAATTATCAATCAGAATATTGAAAAAATAAATGTACAGATTTGATAATTGACGTGGCTGTAAATAAAAATAAAAGGTAGGTATTCAATTAGTTATATTTCTATCAATGTGGTTGTAGGATTTTGTTGAGAGCAAAAGTTGGCTGCAACGTGTTTCTTTTAATTTAAAATGTGAGCTTTTGAGTTATAAATTCTTCTTCAGACAATTAGGATAATAGTTTTAGATATATACAGTTGTTATGAAATTATAAAAGGTATTTAATACAAGATATAGGCAAGAGATCTTGTCTTGAATATTTTAAAAATAATTTCTAAACAATTGTCTTATGTCCCAAATTTGTCTGATGAAGAATTTATAGATGATATAGTTGACTTTTTAAGTTTTACTCTCAACAAGTAGCACTTGTGTTGAGCATAAGAAATTTAAAGAGATTAATATTTTATTCTTTTTCAATAAGTGCAAAAAGAAAAGAAATGGGGAAGATTTCAGGAACACTAACATTTTAAATCTTTCTACAAGGACAATAAGGGAGTTAGATTTCAAAAGGTCACAAAATGAAAATGAAGGGTATGAAAATTATTATCAGACTATATCTTTGAAAAATGAATGAATGAAAGAAAAGTTAAGAAAAGGAAGTGAGATTTAGGTTGACAAGTAACTGTACTTATAATTTTGTACTTATAATGGCACCACATTTAGACAAATGACCAGAAAAATTTGAATCACCAACCCACTGGATAAATTGTTTCCTTTAGTGATATGAATTATTTATAGGAAGTTCAGCACCACTTTAATGTTGTAAAACATGTACTTATATTAGTCTTTCATTGATTGGGTCAACTTCTCTAAGTACCAATTTTTGAGTATGATTGCTATGAATAAAATTTTTGAGGGGTACTTCTGTGATATAAATTCCCTCCACTGGTTATCAAGTGCAGGTGTTAGATTAATTTTGTTAAATTCATCTTAATATGATAAATCATACCCCTAATAAAAAAATGAAAGGTAATTAAACACAAGGTATATAAGAAGCTCAAACACAAGTAAATTATACAAGACATTTCCATAACAGTGTTGTTACTGAAATGTCACATATATTTTATTTTTTCAGATTTAGTCTTGTGATAGTTTATAATGTAAATTGTGCTTAATCTAAAGGCAAAAAAAAATAATTTGAATGCATTTCAAGAATTTATGTAATTTATACTGAAAGAGCTTGATGCATACAAGCAGCAAAAGGAATTGGGTTGATTTGTTTCTACCACTTATTTTGTGAAGTGACCAGAGTTCTGTTTGAGATTCAGTTAGCATTATCCATGCTTATGATAAAGAACTTTTTAGAAATATTTGATAGAACACACACACACAAAAATGTCCAAAGGAATGACGGAATCTTTCAAAACTCTTAAGTAGTATAATATCGAAATGATTCAAATATAACATGCAGATGAAATATAAAATATATTGAAATAAGAATAAGAGCAGTATGAGAACTTTGTGAGAGAAAATAATAGATAGAATTTGGTCTTGTTACCTTATGTTTTAAATTTATAATTAAATTGTACCTTATAAACATGAAAGATAAAGTCAAATGTCTTAAGAAATGAAAGTGCAAAAAAATCGAGGCCAGAATTCATGGCCCAGAGTGTTATGATATATCCAAATAAAAAATATGATATTGTACATTGTGCATTAAAAATAAGACATCAAAAATAAGAACTAATGCTTATTTCTGATATAAGGTAGTATAAGACTGATATTCAGAAAATATGGTGCTTGTAATACATGTTTTATCAAAGATGTAAAAAAATAATTATCAAAAGTTGAGCTCTTTGTACATATCAGAATAAAATAATTCTAGTCAGTATATGAAACAAATAGAACTCTTGAGCTCTGAATTAAGAAAAAGATTTGGCAATTTATCCTATAATTTCTATCAATCATTATCTTCATAAATTTGGCAAAAAAATATCATTTATCCACGATATAAATATCATTTTTGATCAAAATAAAATATATGAAATTTTTTATAGAGGGTGATGCAAAAATATTAATTTCTTAAACATAATCTTTAAAGCAGTGTAAATTGCTGCGACTAGAATAATATTGTAGCAAATTTAAGAGAAGCTCAAACATCAAACTAACTTCAAACATTAAAAGCAGTGAGAAAAATTATCAGTGATAATAAGAAATATTTAAAATAATAATTTTTCGAATATTTTGCACGAATAAAAATTGTGCAATATAGTTTTTAAAAACGTTTCCCTAAATATTTTCTCTAATATTTTTTTACAAAACATTAATACTATCTCTTGAAAGTTTATGATCTATTTGTTTTACAGGCCACAATTCATGTATTCTTCAAGAAATTAATATTAGAAAATATGTGCTTTGGTTGGCGTAATTTGTAGATATTTTGGCAGTAGTAAAATATTAAATTTATAAACATTAAACAAGGCTTAATGACCTAAACTATTCTCAACTTCTTTCATTTTTTCCTAATCTAAACATACACAACATCGCCACTAAATTAAAGAACACAATACTCAATGGAATGACTAAAATAACTCTAAAATAAATTTTGCAACAAAAATAGAATGATTAGTTGCTCACAAATTTTACACTCAATATATTACATATAATAAAGGTAAAATAAAATTTAAATGTTTATATTGATTAAAACTAAAAAAAAAAGCAAAATTTTTCCTTCATAAAAAAATCATTTCTCTCCTTTGTAATATCAAACTTTGTGAAATCAAAATAGGACACATATATGAGGAATTTTCACATCAGTTATCCTCCAATTTCCCAAGTTGGTAGGCAACTATTTTAGGAAAAGAGCATAATAGATTCCAGGTTCTTGGATAGCTGAAACAACAAAAAAGTTGTCTTAAATTTCAAGCATACCTCAACACAAGAATTTCAATAATCGCATATGTTTTGATTATATGTGCGTAATTGTGAACACAAGGTATTAAGACCGACGACTCGACATTCTTAGACTAATTGGCCATTAGTTCAAGGTAATAAGACCAAATCAAAATAAATAAATAGTGTGCGATATTTCAGTAACAGCATTGTTAACATCATCAGACAAAAGTACCTTTGCACTTCAACACTTTTGTCTGATGATGGTAACAACAATGTTACAGAAATGTCACGTACAATTTATTCATTTATTTGGATTTGGTCTTATTACTTTGTATTTCTATTCAATAATCCAAATTGTATCCAATCATGTATGTGATTGTATCATAGAGAGTTGCTATTAAGTTTCTGTAGTATTGAACAGAAAATTTATAAATCCAACATATTTGACTGGCTATATATATTTTGAATGAATAAACAAAATTTTAATTCAATTTGCCCAAATAATTCAATATTCTTTGAAATAAGACGAGATATTTATTCAAGAATGATGCCTACATACACAGATAAAAGCATGTGCTGTTTTATGAATTTGTGAATTGGGGTTAATGCTGAGAAATATCTCATTTTCAAATAAAATTGGTGGAGTGCCAAAACAAGTCAATGTTTAAACAGAATATTCTGATTGGGTATTTTGGCATATTGTCAATACAATTTATCAAGCCCAAATGAATAGTGTGTGAAATTTTGATAATAGCATTGTTACCACCATTAGACTTGTACTGGAAAAATTGTCAAATTGGGATTTGAACCCACGCCCACACTTGTGGACCAGACCACACAACTTTCGATATGGGATAAGGTTTGCCCTTGAGTCTGGCACCTTTAGACCACTCAGGCATTCCAGTACATTTGTCTGATGATGGTAATAATGCTGTTACTGAAACATCACTATTTATTCATTTGGATTAGATCTATTAACCTTGTATTTCTATGAATAATCAAAATTGTAATATTGGTATATTGCCATTATTATATATTATATATAATGTATATATTGCTGTTCAGGATGATCAAATGAGCACACAGGTTCGATAAGGATCTCTATTCTCAAGATATAAACCCAATTTATTTTTGTAGGGCCATACAAGCAATGTAAACAGCGAGCAGCCAATGTTCTCGACAGGCACACATTGCACACTGCCTTGCACCATACCAATATGCATCGTGCATCGTCGCAACACTACCCTCCTTCTAAAATGCTGTTTATTCCTGAACAGCACTCAAACTTGGGGTAGGGAGCAAGATGATTGTGTGTGATGTGAATTACTTAGGTCTTTTGATGGAGATTTCTTTATAGGGAATACAATTTCTGTAATTTTCCCGATCACTTGATAGGGTCCCTCCTAATCTTTTTGGAGACAACCCTTTTCTTCTTTGAGGTTTATGGAACCAAACAAAGTCAGCAACATGAAGTTTCTTTCCTCCTGTTTCAAGTTCATAGTGATCTTTCAATTTTATGCTAGAGATATGGTGTTCTTGTGCCCATTCATGTATGCTCTCCAGTCTTTTTTTCTTAGAGGTCTATGACATAGTCCTTAGAATTCTGTGATGGTTCAGTGAACCAAGAAAAATATCACATGGGAGAGGAGAGAGAGAGGCAAAGTTCTCGACCAAAAAGCACAGTGTGTCTCGCAAAGTAATTTTGTTCTAACTTCAAGAGCGTCTAACTGAAATATGTGATGTCTTTCGGTGTCATCCTGAATTTGTCATAAAACACTTCCATAACATATCTACTAGCGTCTGTGTGTCAAGGATTAATTTCTTGTCTCGTTTGTAAGAACTTCTTTGAGTTTGTCCAATGCTCATTGACACTATTGTCTAATTAAATGTACATTCAGCTTCAGTAAGATGGTGAAGAGGTCTTGCAATGGTGGGCAAACCCAGGAATAAACCAGTATTAGGTGCAGAGGCCTAAAAAAACTTCTGAACTGCATCAGGTCTTTTGGAACTGGCCATTCTCTAACAACTTGTCTTCTCTGGGTCCGTGAGAATGCCATCAGGAGAGCTAATGTGACCAAGTAAGTGATTTCTTTGCGAAAGAGCTTGCCTATTTCAGGCCTGAGCTAAGATTAGCTTCTCTCAAACACTAGAATACTTGTCAAGGACTGTTTGTGAAGGAGATAGTTGAATGTTCTAGAACAAAGATGTCACCCATGTAAACAAGACAGGTCTACCAGGGCAAACCTTGAAGGACAGCTTCCACTAGGCATTCAAAAGTAGCTGGAGCATTGCAGAGATCAAAAGGCATCAACTTGAATTGCCATAAGCTATTTCAATTAGTTAAAGCAGTCTTCTCTCTGTTGTTTGAGAGCATTTCTACTTGTCAATATCCACTTTTCAGATCTAAAGTAGAGAACCATTTTGATCCATAGAGTGTGTCAAAGGTAGTGTCGATTCTAAGAAGGGAGTAAGTCTTATTTGTGATGTCGCGCTCAGCTCTCAGTAGTCAACACAGGTGTCAATGCATCTCATGATATGGTGAAATATATGTTATCCACAGCTTTTTCTAGAATTACACTCACGGACAAAACAATATTTTGATGACACGGTTTTTTATTTTTTGAAGAAGACAGAGGCAATTTGTTTACACTTAGCTATCTCATGTGTCATCAATAAAGGTCACTATGTATAAAATATCTTTCAGAGTTATTGTCTGAATCGTGATATACATGCTAAAAGGTACAACTTTCAAGTTTTTCCCATGAGTGTATATGACTGAGTGGGTCAGGCAGGCCTGACTTCTTTCAAGAAAGTGCAAAAATTGTCCTTATACCAAACCAAGGAACTAATATAAAACTTCTACCAAATACAATTTAACTTCTGGCACAATGCTACAATTTGACATGCTCGTCTGGATCTCCAATCAATTACAACAGAAGACTCATCTACAAAGTTTCTGTTTATGAAACTTATCTGATAGATTATCCTATATAGAAGAATACTATTGATTCAGGATGGTCCTTGGATTATAACGAGACTAGAGAGATTAGCATTAAAAATGCTGATGGAAGGACTCCTAATGGCCAGTAAATCCATTATCAGTACAGTTCTAGTCAATTACCTAAATGAATGGCTTGATATAATCACCAAAATAAATGGAAATGATGAGCCATATTAAGGTACAATTTGAATTTGGTCTTGTTACCTTTTTTTTCTAATCTATAATCCAAATTGTTCTTTATCATTTTTGTTTGATTGATCATTATTGCAACAAAATTGGGCAAGCTTAAGAGCCAACAGCGCTTCATCAAGGCCCAGCATCCAAAAACAATTCATAAGACACAAGACTTATAAATTGCTTCATTGCATGAAGGGCCTTGATAAAGAGCTGTTGGCTTGAAAGATTTTATTGTAATAAAGAAACATTACTCTTTAGTGGGCTTAAGCTCATGTAGTTTTAAATATATAATGAGAAATATTTTTATATTAAAGTTTATATTTGTGAGAAAAATATGGAGCTTAAAATATATATGTTATAAAATATAATTCAGTCTTTTTTCAGAAAAAAGGCTTTTTTGCAATTTTCTATTCATTAACTAAAATATCTTTAAATAGTATAAATCAAATCATGCTTAAATATTTGGCTGTAAAATTTCCAATGAAATTTCGGAAAGAACACTTCTCTTTTGATGAAATTTTCACCTTTCCAATTTGACTCAGATGGAGAACAATTGATGAGCGGTCAACATTGAGTTTTAGCAACCACTAATGTAGTTTTGTGTATAATTATTGACTTTTATTGATCATTGTTAAACTCTGACAGCCATTTTATCACTCTCTTTCTTCAAGCCTGGTATTTCTGATGCAGAATTATGCGAAACGCCTGTGCTTAATGGGTTCAGAGAAGTGGCTTTATCATCCCAAATGCTGATAAGATTTTGAGCTTTTTCTGCAGTTTGTGTCATGTTTAAACTCATGAAGCAGTGTTGCAAATTTTATGTTTTGAAGGCATTCGATTAAACACTGAAACCACACATAATATAGGATCAGACAAAATTGATAGGATTAAATGATAGGAAAAAATATGGGCCATAAAATGGGGTATAATACGATTAGAATAAAATACTATATAGTAAAATCTCTCTTTAAAGAACACCTAGTTGCAAGACAAACTGTCCTTTGTAGAGAGGTGTCCTCTTATTGGAGAGTTGAAAAATAAAATTGGAAATTATGGCAATGAAAACTGTCCTTTATAGGGATGTGGCTCTAGAGAGAGTGTCCTCTCATAGAGGTTCTACTGTAATAGACAAATATCAGTGCTCAAATATTAACAATATGAAATTGGCCATTATTTTCCACCAATCCAATAATATCAAGTAAATTTTAATATGAACTCAACCTTATATGTATACGAGGTGTGTTCAAAAAGTATCGCGACTTTTGTGTTATTTCAAAAATGATTTATTTATTCATGAATACCTATTTTGTCCCCTTCAAAGTAATCCCCATGAGGTATTATACACTTGTGACAACGGTTTTTCCAATCTTCGAAGCACTTCAAAAAATCATTTTTTAAAATCTTTTCAGCTCCTCCTTCGATGCCGTCTTTATCTCGTCAAGCGTAGCGTAACATCGTCCTTTCATGGGCCTCTTCAGTTTAGGGAACAAGAAAAAGTCACAGGGGGCCAGATCTGGGGAATACGGTGGCTGCGGCATCATTAGTGTGTTGTTTTTGGCCAAAAATTGGCGCACAAGCAACGATGTGTGAGCAGGGGCGTTATCGTGGTGCAAAAGCCAAGTTTTGTTCTTCCACAAATCCGGGCGTTTCTGGCGGATTGCTTCGCGCAAATTGCGCATAACTTGCAGGTAATATTCCTTATTGACCGTTCTACCCTGTGGCAAGAACTCATGATGCACCACGCCCCTGCAATTGAAGAAAACTGTCAGCAAAACTTTCACATTCGACCGAACTTGGCGCGCTTTTTTCAGTCTTGGTTCGTGCGGCAGCTTCCATTGAGATGATTGAGATTTGGTTTCCACGTCATAACCATAAACCCACGCTTCGTCACCAGTTATGACCCTCTGGAGCAAATTTGGGTCGTCGCGGACAGAGTCCAACATCTCATTAGCAATGTTCATGCGATGCTGATTTTGGTCGCAATTGAGCAATTTTGGTACGAATTTCGCGGCGACCCGTCTCATGCCCAAATCATTGATAAAAATCGAATGGCACGAGCCAATCGATATGTTTAGGTCCTCAGCAACTTCTCTAACGGTGATTCGACAATTGGCCAATATCATTTTCTCCACTTCATTAATTTTTTCGTCTGTTGTTGAAGTGCTCGGGCGTCCGGCACGCTCTTCGTCGTTCACATCTTCTCGGCCTTCTGAGAACATTTTGTACCACCGATAAACGTTGCTTCGGTCCGAGGTAGCTTCTCCGTATGCCACAGTCAACATTCGGAATGCATCCGCGCACTTAATTTCGTTTTTCACACAAAATTTGATACAGGTTCTTTGATCCATTTTTTTTAATAGGTAAAAATCGAAGACGATCCAAAACACCTGCAAGCAAAGCAGCTGTCAACAATTGAGTGAACATTCAAAATGGCCGATCTTGTCGGCATAAGTGAGAGACATGAGTACCAACATAAAGCCACAAAAGATCGAAATTCGAATATACGTACAAAGTCAATATTTAAGTCAATATACAAAGTCATATTTTGCAAGATTACCTCAAATTCCTCCATTGTAGTAACAATGCCATCAGGTGCCAAAAGTTGGTAATGAGAAGATGAGAGGTTTGACACCTTGTACAACATCCTTCGCTGTTCTTTAGTTAAAGGATCCAGCATCACAAAATGGGAAAAATCGGGGGTTATCCCAATTAATATTCGACTGTGACCTG